AATATATACTAAAACCCACTGCGCTGCCCCGATTAAAAAGGTGAACTTTATGGCATATGAAATATATTTCAATAAAGCTGTTATTTAAAAAAAAAAAAGATATGGAACATTCCTGTCACACCAGAAAGCCCTTGCTGCCTCTTCCCAGTCAGTCCTGCTGTACCCTCAGAAGAGGCCACAGTGGCGTCTTCCCAGCAGAGATGAATTGTGTCTGTTCAGGAACTTCCTATAATTCGGATCATGTATCAGGTGCTCATTTGTGTAAGGCTTCTTCCAGCAGGCGTAATGTTTTTGAGATTTGCTCATGTTGTTATGACAGTAGTTTGTGTCTTTTTTAACCCCCTGAGTAGAATGAATGACTTTACCACAGTTTCTTTCAGATGGACATCTGGGCTGTTTCCAAGTTAGAGCTATTATACATAAAGCTGGTATGGATATTCTTGTAAAAGTCTTCTCCTGGACATATGTTTACTTTTTTTTTTAAGATTTTATTTATTTGACACAGAGAGAGCACACAAGCAGGGGGAGCGGCAGACGGAGAGGGAGAAGCAGGCTCCCCGCTGAGCAGGGAGCTGATGTGGGACTCGATCCCAGGACCCTGGGATCATGACCCGAGCCAAAGGCAGACGCCCAACCTACTGAGCCACCCAGGTGCCCTCATTTACCTTTTTCTTAAATACCTAGAAATGGAATTGCTCAGTCTATGGTTTTATTTTTAGTTTTATAAGAAACTGATAGACTTTTTTCCAGAGTGGTTTTACCATTTTACACTCCCATCAACAGTGTATGAGAGTTTTGGTTTCTCCATATCCTCACTAACATTTGGTGTTGTCTGTTTGTTTAATTATAGCCATTAAGGTTGGTGTGTTGAAAATTTAAAATTTTTATGAATTTCAGTTGTAAATTTTCTTTAAAAAGATTATTTATTTCTTTATTTGAGACAGAGTGCATGAGAGCATGAGTGGGGGAAGGGTCAGAGGGAGAGGAAGAAGCAGACTTCCCACTGAGCAGGGAACCCGACATGGGGTTTGATCCCAGGACTCCGAGATCATGACCCAAGCTGAAGGCATATACTTAACTGACCAAGCCACCCAGGTGCCCCTAGTTGTAAATTTTTTTAATGGTTAGTGCTTTTTGTGTTTTGCGTAAGTGATATTTGCCTACTTCAAGGTCAAGGAGATATTTTTTCATTTTTTTTTTTAAGATGCCATATTTCATTTAGGTCTAGGATCCATTTCAGCTTAGGTTTTGGTGTGATGTATGGAGTTGTGGTTCACTTTTTTTTCCCTCTTAGATAGAAAATTATCTCTATGTCTGTCCAAAAATGTTGAAGATATTTGTCTTTCCCCATTGAATATCTTGGTTCCTTTGTTGAAAATCAGTTGATCATATGTGTAGGTCTATTTCTGGACTCTGTTTGCTGTTCCATTGATCTATTTGTGTACCCTAATGCTAACGCCAAACTCTCTTTATTATTATTTATAGTAAATCTTAAAATCAGCTACGGTAAGCCCTTCAACTTTGTTCTTTATTAAGATTATTTTGGCTGTTCTAGTCCTTTTCATTTCTACTTAAATTGTTTAAATTTCTATTTAATTGACTGGTTGTTAATTTCTGAAAAGAAAGCCTTCTGGAATTTTGATTGGGATTACATTGAATCTGTTGATCAATCTGGAGGGAACTGACATCTTAACAATATTGAGTCCTGTAATCCATGAACATGGTACATCTCATTTATTTAGGTCTTCTTTTATTTCCCTTGATAACGTTTAGTAGCCTTTAGCATAGAAGTCTTATATGTCTTTGGTTAAATTTATTCCTAAGTGGCATTTTTATTTTAATAGAGGAAACTGGAAACCACAGAGTGATGAAAGGGTGATAGGTGGACAGATACTGGGGCTGATGTTTGGGGTTGAGGACCTGTTCACAGCCCCAGGTGATAACCAACAAGAAGCAGCTGGTCACACAGTGATTCTCACTGAGTCCCCTCCATCTGGATTTCAGAATCAAGCATGACAGCCAAGAAGTCTGTGTTCTCTTATTCCCCCTTGAACTGAGATGAACACCTTTTTGTTCTCCCTTTTGGACACCAGCTGTACTGTGAAGGTCAGGCACAGGCTGGTCCTGCTCACTGTCGCCTCCTGAGAGAAACTGCAGTGCCTCCAGCTCCTGATGAGCCTCCTTAGGCTGTTCCTTGAGCAACAGCGGCCAGCGACCTCCACGAGGGCCCGGCTTCGAGAGCCATGCTGTAGTGACTGGGAAATGTGGCAAAATCAACCACACACTTGGAAAAGGAGGAGAAAAGAAGAGATGGATGGGAAGAAGCAGAGTATGAGAGGGGAACTGAATGAATGACTTTGATGGCAGAGTGCTCCTGGATCAGGGGCTGTGAATGCCTGCTGCCTGGGGGTCTGCCAGATTGCCAGGAACACCCACTAACACATCTGGGACTCCGTTTGGGTCTATTGTGTTACCTCAGTTTGGAGCCCTTTGCTTTTCTCCCTGTTACTAGGATGTGTGTGTGTGTGTGTATACAAATATCATACACAGGGAGAGGTCTTACTGATAATTTGGAGTGAGTCCATCAGAGGCATCCTGGAAGGGGGGATGTGTATTGAATGTCCTGCCACAAGCATGACAGAGAGAACAGCAGTCCTCAGGAGGTGCTCGGGGCCTTGGTAGGCAGCCTTGAGGAAGCACATTTATCCTGTGCCATATAGGGAGGGGAAGAAGCTGTGGGAAAATATTTTGGCTTAATATGAAGAACTTTACAGGAGCTGTACAGCCGTGGAATAGCCTTCCTTGCCTGATTATGATTTTCATATCCCTGGGATATACAAGCAGATACTGTCAGAGATTCCTGCACTGGGCAGGATCATGTGACCTCCAAGATCCATTTGATTCTCTGCCTAACACTTTATCAGGAGTTGATTAATGTTCGCCTCCCAAGAGGACTTCTGGGGAAAGGAAGCTAAAGAAAGACTTTTTTGTTTAACTCTAACACTAGTTACTGAATAGTCCACATTTTTCCCAATATTCATAGCCACTTCTGATATTTATCAAGTTTCTATATTTGTGATCATGGTATCTCCCCTGCCAGGTAAGTATCAAGTTTCTATATTTGAATGGGTTTTTGAGTTCCCTAGTCTGTTCTCTAGTGTGTTGTCTATCCCTCTGCTATTAGAACCGTGCCGTCTTAATCATTATTTCTCATATCAGGATGTGATGTCCGGGCACCTGGGTGGCTCAGTCAGTGAAGCATCTGCCTTTGGCTCAGGTCATGATCCTGGGGTCTTGGGATTTAGCCCCGCATTGGGCTCCTGGCTCGGTGGGGAGTCTGCTTCTCCCTCTCCCTCTGCCCCTACCCCTGCTTGTGCTCTCTCTCTGGCTTGCACTGTCTCTCTCAAATAAATAAAATCTTTTTAAAAAAAGGAGTGTAAATTCTCCCCACTTGGTTCTGCTGCAAATTTTCTTAGATATTCTTTAGTCCGTGCTCTTCCATATGAATCTAGGGTGAATTATGTCATATCCCATGTTGGGACAGTGACTTTGTGATTGTTATGAGGCTGATAGCCTTCTGAGAAAGACATTTTTAAAGGTGAAATCTCAGAGGCAGTGACGTGGAGAAGTATTTCTGGCTGGGACTTGCCATTGACCCTCAGATTATCCTGTGGCCGGTGTACAAGACTAGCCACGATCCATTTCGCCATGTGGAGATGTCTTCCCCACCAACATCCCCAGCAGTTATTTAGTTGGCCAGAGCGAGCTCTCCCAAAGCTGTTGGGCTAGGCCTCCTGTTTTTTGCAGCTTCTATCCACGAGAAAGTGCCAGAAGGTGTGGCATCAGTATTGGAGGAGAGAGTGGGGGATATGGCTGCAAGAGACGCCTACTCAGGCACTTTACAGAGGGCACCCTTCTCTCAGAATCAGCTTGGAGCCAACTTTTCCTTCTTTGTATGACTCAGCCATCGTTTATTAGAAAAGCTGCCTGAGTGTTCTTCGTTTCAGTCAGAAGCCCTGCCCATGCTTAAACTTGGTGCTGTAGGAATTTTCTCCTTTCTTATTTAAGGGCTCTTAGAAATCTTGTCCTTTCCAGATAGACTTCTTTGGAGGGACCCCCCCCCAGCCCCCTTTATGATCCCTGCGGGGTGGAGGATAACAGCTTTCCTTGTGCTTTCGGCTGGTCCTACCACTGAGACATTTTCCCGAGATGTAAGTCTGGGGTCTTTGATGGAGGAGCAGCGTGGGGGCTGGAGATGAGGAACGTATTACTCCCTGTCACGGAATGAGAGGCATCATGAGTGAAAGAAAAGAGTGTTGAGGTTGACAAGCCTGAATTTGTTTGCCCAATTCTGACACGAATTAGCTGTGTGACCTTGGGTTGTCTGTTAGCTCACCTGAGCCTCCGTTTCTGCATCTGTACACTTGAGGTGATGGTGTCTCTTGGATTTGGTTGTTCAGATTATTCAATGGGATACTATGTGTGGAAGCACCTAGTGTGCTACTTGGCTTTGAGTAGGAGCTCAGTGGATCTTCAGTCCATTCAAGGCCTTCTTGGCGGCCTCCCAGCAGGTGCACCAGGGGTGGTGGGTGCCGAGGGAGCAGTCTTATTGTGTGGAAAGTCTTGGCACCTCTTAGGATTTCTGGAAAGAGCCATAGACTGTCCACTTGATGTTCTTCCAGAGCATGACCCGAGGAGTGGATAACCGAATCTATCAGTTATTTGTTTGTTTGCTACCCCAGTGTGGCCTGAAATTCCTCCCATTAGCCAATTCCGTTTTTAAATTGTCTTCTGGAATCCATGATTCACCTGGGAAATAGGCTATAGTCTGTAGGCTGGAGTGCAGAAAGCTGTTCTCGAGGGCAGAGAGGAAGGCCAGCTGTGTTGGCTGTCTCTCATTTAGTAACACGTTGGACCCTTTAAAAATGAGATGAGTTGTCTGACACCTTGGAGCAGAGACTCTATCGTTTACTTTTTTGTTCTGTTCTATTTTGTTTTAGCTAGAACACTGAGTACCAGCCCTGCTTGCAACAGAAGGTCATCAACATTTTCTGATGACCCAGTGAATGTCTGCTAAAAATTGTGTGATTCTGGGGCACCAAGCTGGCTCAGTCAGAAGACCACGCGACTCCTGATCTCGGGATCGTGAGTTTGACCCCATGCTGGGTGTAGAGATTACTAAAAAAATAAGCTTAAAAAATTTTAAAAACTGTGTGATTCTGACACATGCTGCAACATGGATGAACCTTGAAGACGTTATGCGAAGTGAAGTGAGTCACACATAGAAAGACAAATATTGTGTGATTTCACTTATATGAGGTCCCTGGAGCAGTCAGCGTCATGGAGACAGACTGTAGAATGGTGTCTACCAGGGGCTGGGGAGGGGACACGGGGAGTTCCTGTTTAATGGGGGCAGAGTTCCGGAGGTGAATGGCGGTGATGGTTGCATGACATTGTGCATATGCTTCATGTCATAGAACTTATACTTAAAAATGGCTAAAATGGTAAATTTTATGTTATGTGTATTTTACCACAATAAAAAAAATATATGCTTGTAATCCAATGTCCTAATTTTTAAAACTGTGGCGTAATCAATGATTACTCAAAGGAAAATTCTGTGAATTACCATTGCAAGATGTAAAAATATCACCTGACTTGCTCAGTTATTCACCCAGCGCCCCTCGCCTGCTGGCTCCATCCAAGCTCCTGAGCCAAGCCTGAAGATTCAAAGATTCGATCCCACTTTTACTCTTCCAGAGCTGGATTCTGAGTGTGAAGGCAGAAAGCTTCTGATTCCATGAGTGAAGCATTTGCTCCAGCCGGGAGGACTGAGGAAGAACAGGTTAATGCCCCTGGTGTTTGAGGCAGGATCCGTGGGGAGGCAGAGTATACGCACACACGATAGATGGGTCAGGGTGGGAGAACTCCGAAGGTCTGGAAACAAGTTTTGATTATTTACAGGTTTCACTTCTCTGTTTTTTGAGCAGGGTGTTTTGGCTCTGGGGAGTGGTGCAGACATTCTGGGTGTGTCGGGTGCCCGAGGTCCCCCAAGCCCAGCCTCTATGTCACAGGATAGCTGAGAGTCTGGGGCCCAGGGTGGAGAGTGCGGGTAGGGACTGCGGGTGTCTTCGGGGGGGATGTTGAGGCTGTGGGAGCCCGAGGCTGGCTCTGTCATTAGCTACCGTGTTGGGGTACAGGTCAGAAGTCCAGTCCCTTGGGTGGGCCAGTTTGCTTTGTTGCCGTGGAGACCACACTGTCTCTACATGGACACATTCCTCCTTCCTGGAGAAAGTTAGCACTTGCTGTATGCCAGGAACTGCACAAAGTATTTGTATCTATTCATCTCTTTTTTTTTTCTTTTCTTTTTTTAAGTAAGCTCCACACCCAGTGTGGAGTCCAACATGGGGCTTAAACTCATGACCCTGAGATCAAGACCTGAGCTGAGATCAAGAGTTGGACACTTAACTGACCGAGCCACCCACGTGCCCCTATAGGTATCCATCTTTATAGATTGGGTGGGAAAAATTACATCTTTATCTTTATCAGCTCCTAATGGATATTTTGTACTTCCTTCAAGTATAAGCAACAGACCACATACTATTATCAGACCACAATCTTAGTATTTGCCACCCTGAAAATCACAGATGCTGAGTCGAAGAGGACCAACACTGCAAATCGGTGAAAGGACCTGGATTGTTTTCTCTATGGTGGTATTGCAAGCTAGGTGGGTGCAAATGGAGGGGTTTCTTTTCTTCTTTCTTTTTTTTTCCCATTGCTTTATGAGCCATGTCAACATAACCACAGAGGGAAGATGCCTGGAACATTGCCAAAGAGGAGGCAGTATGAGCAAAAATTTCAGTTTATCCCCAGTGGAAATTTCCATGGATGTGTCTTTGGGCTAAGGGGTCAAAGATTAGACTGAGATGGAAGTCTGAAGGGGCTCTGAGTAAGTAGTTAGTCTCCTTTACTCTTGTTCATTTTATGTTTTTCTTCTTCATTCACTCTTTGTTAACTGAGATATAACTCACATTCCACAAAACTCATCCTTTTAAAGTGCACAGTTCGGTGGTGGTGGTTATATTCACAAAGTTGTATGGGCATCACCACCATCTTCCCAGAACATTTTCATCACCCCCAAAAGAAGTGCCCACCCCTTAGCATTAACTCCTCACCTACCTCAAGCCCTAGCCTGGGAACCACCAATCTACTTTCTAGTTTACAATGTTTTATAATTTTCATGGTGAGAGTCTTGTACTTCTTTTGTTATATTCATTTACTTTTTTTTTTTTTAAGATTTTATTTATTTATTTGACAGAGAGTGAGAGAGGGGAGCTGGAGAGGGAGAAGCAGGCTGGAGAGGGAGAAGCAGACTCCCCGCTGAGCAGGGAGCCCAGTGTTGGGCTCAATGCGGGGCTCGATGCAGGGCTCGATCCCAGGATGCCAGGATCATGACCTGAGCTGAAGGCAGACGCTTAATGACTGAGCCACCCAGGTGCCCCTATATTCGTTTACTTTTAAAGAAAAGTATTTGCCAGAGGAACTTTTTGACTGATGAGCTTCTTTGTTTTAACAATAACACTGCAGTTTTCATTGCCTGTGAAATGTATGCGGATTCTTGAATTTCTCAGAGTTCTCATGATTAATACTTTTCATCCAATCCCCAAACTTTAATTTCAAACTTTATTTTCTTTAACTGTCTCAACCAACACAATAAAAACCATATGCCAAGGCCCTATCCCATAGCTGTGCTCTGTAGGGACCAGACTTAATGTACACTAAGACAGTGTGGGGGTGCCTGGATGGCTCCCCTGGTTGAGTGTCCGACTCTTGATTTCAGCTTGAGTCATGATCTCAGGGTTGTGCCCTGCGTCGGGCTCTGTGCTCAGTGGGGAGTCTACTTCTCTCTCTCTCCCGCCATCTCTCCCTGCCCCCCCACCCTGCTTGCGTGCTCTCTCTCTCTCTCTCTGAAATAAATAGTAAAATCTTAAAAAAATATTAAGACAGTGTATCTTTGGAATGCATATGGATATAAACAACAGAAAACCCTACTTTCCAGACTGATACCAATAAAAAACTATTTTTTTCCTATGTAGCAAAAAGTTCAGGGGAAATGTCCTGGGGCTAGTATCAGTGATCACCAGGAACTCAGCTTCTTTCTACTTTTCTGTTCCTCTATCCTTAGCAGAGGCCTTTATTCTCAAGCCTCTTGCCTCATGGTTGCAAGATGGCTGCTGCACCTCCAGGCCTCACACTTATGTTCCAATCAGGAAGAAGGAGGGAGGGTGAAAGGATGCAGAGCTTTCCCTTAGCAAGTCCTTATCTTCTTATTTAGGAGGAGAAGGCCTCCCCTGGGCTTGGGAAAGCCAAGTGGTTTATATTAACTATCTTATTTAATCCCTATTTTAAACATCTGAGGTAGGTCATATTTCCCCTGCTTTACAGATGTGGAAGCTTAGAGAACTTAGTAACTTTCCCAAGGTCACACCGTCAGCGGCAGAACTAAGACTAACCATGATAACACACTGCGTTTTTCCAGCCTGTGTTTCATCATTGCACACAAAGCAATTCCCTGTTCGTTTTTTTTCATTTGGGTCTCCTGAACCTCGTGGAGATGGGCAAGGCAGGTATTAGGATAGCCTCATGTCGCGGAAGAGGAAGTGAATGATGACTTGCCCAAGGCACCCAGCCAGCAACTTTCATTGAACTGGGTTTAATCTCCGGTCTCGTGTCCTGTCTTCTGGACCCTGCGGTCTGTGTGTGGTTGAGGAGCTCTCGATTCGCTGAGGGACATGGACACACAGAAGGAAAAGGTGCAAACATTTAAGTTTGCACAGGCTCAGCTTCTAGGGGTTTTCTGCTGATTCTCCCCCTCCTTTTTTTCCCTATAGTTTTCATCCCTCTGACATATTTTATTTTCTAACTGGAAGTTTGTACCTCTTCATCCCCTTTGCCTGTCACCCAACCCCCCGCCCCCATCCCCTCTGGCAACCACTAGTTTCTTCTCGGTACTTAGGAGTCCACTTCTGTTTTGTTTGTTCATCTGCTTTGTTTTGTTTTGTTTTTGGATTCCACATATAAGCAAAATCATATGGTATTTGTCGTTTTCTGTCTGACTTATTTCACTTAGCAGAATACCCTCGAGGTCCATCCACATTGTTGTGAATGGCAAGATCTCATTTTTTTATGGCTGAGTTATATTCCATCGTGTGTATGTATGTGTGTGTGTGTGTGTGTGTATGTATATCATATATTCTTATCTGTTCATCTACTGATGGATACTTAGGTTGTTTCCATATCTTGACTATTGTAAATAATGCTGCAGTAAACATAGGGGTACATACATCTTTTTGAATGAGTGCTTCGTCTTCTTTGGGTAAATACCCGGAAGTGAATTACTGGGTTGTAGGGTAGCTCTATTTTTAATTTTTTTGAGGAACTTCCATGCTATTTTCCACAGCGGCTGTGCCAATTCACATTCCCACCAACCGTGCGCAAGGGTTCTCTTTCCCCCACATGCTCGCAACACTTGTTCTCTCTTATCTTTTTGATGGTAGCCGTTCTGACTGGTGTGGGATGACATATCACTGTGGTTTTGATTGGCGTTTCCCTGATGAGTGATGTGGAGCATCTCTTCATGTGTTTCTTGGCCCTGCCCTGCCCCTTGCAGGGATGGGAGGGTGAGTCTGGGACTACGCGGTGATGCACACCACTTTGTTTCAGAAGAGACCCTGTGCACAGAGGGGTCTGCGTTGCCTTTCTCCACCCATGGGTTCCACTCTTTTAGTGTGTGTGCTTTCCAGTTTTACTGCAAACAGGTACCTGCTGCTGGAAGGGGAGTTTCCTAGACCGAAAAGTCAGACTCTATCTTAAGTATTCTTTTCCTCTTCTTGAGCACAGGTCACAAAGGAGGGGATATTTCTTGAAAATCCAGTCTGATTACATGGTAAAAGGAAAGAAGAAAACCGATTCCAAGTGAATTTTCTGTTGGCCTCGATAGAATTAAATAAATTAATTAAATAAAACCCCCAGTAATCCATTTTTTTTTTTAAAAGCTTCTGCGTAACATGACGAATGTGGCTCTGAGCTCTGACCTCAGTGCTTGGGTCATGGGTCTTTGAGAAAAATCTGTAAATGATTTATAGAAGAGCAGACACGAAGGCTCCACCTGCAGTGA